TGAGAGGTCCAAAAGTACAAGGACAGAGGAATAACCCCTGTCCTGGGCCCTCCAGAGATCATTTACCAACGTGACCAATGCCGTTTCCGTGCTGTGTCCCGGCACGGAAATGGATCGGATCAACGGGAGTGCTTGTATTTGGTTAGATATATATATATATATTTTCCAGCTTCAAAACCTTTTTTTAAATTTTTTCAAGGCTTTAAAAGTTTGGTTCCCTCAAATGTAGCTTCGGTAAAGAGACCGGGAGAGGAACAGCAAAGGAACTGCTTTTATTTGGAATTCCAGCAGCCATTCACCCCAAAAGCAAATTTTGTGGGTGCTTAAAACTCAAGGAGAAGGCAATCTCCAGCTCAACCTTCCATTGTAAAGGTAGTCCTTGACTTACAACAGTCCACTTAGCGGCCGTTCAGTCACGACAACGTTGAAATAAGTGGCTTAGGACCCTTGCAGCATCCCCGCGGTTACATGACCAAAAGTCGAGCACTTGGCAATTGACTCACACTTAAACGGTCGCAGTGATCCCCTTTTGTCTCATTTAGCTCAATTGTGGTCATAAGTCAAGGACTAGCTGTACAGTCATCTCAGATCACTGTAGACTTCCCAAAACTGAGAACCTCCTTAAGGGCCAAATTCCTGTCTCTGCCTGCACAGCTCTTTCCGTTTGGGGGCGCCCCCTAAAATTGTTCCGGGAACCAAAGAGAAACCTCACAGAGCCAATCAAAAGCAAAGCGAGTCGTAAGCCCGCCAGTTGTGTGGATCCTGGAAGTTGTCACTCCAAAGACATCCAGAAGCAGGTTGGAACTGACCCACCGGGCCGGGCCTCCTGTTGAAGAGTCACGCACCTTATGGAGATGGCTGCGGTCACTGATGCTCTTGGTCAGTTGCTGGATCTCCACCACCTGGTCGGCCAACCTCTTCTGCTCGTTCAGCTTCTCCGCCAAGGTCTCCAGTTCTGTGAGGGCGAGCTGGAGGGACAACCGGTCAGCGTGTCCTTTGGGGGTGTTCTTCAGCATATCCTGACGGGAGGGAAGACAGAGCACAAGTTGGAAGCGTGGTCAACTGAGGGCCATCTGAATTCCACGCTTGGTCCCACCCCAGATGTTTTCTCAACGTGCCAAGCCAACCCCTTCCCTCGGCTTGGCACGATCTAGATCCACGTTCCTCAACCTTGCAGACTAGAAGATGGGTGGGCTTCAACTCACGCTGGCTGGGGAATTTGGAGGAGTTGAAGCCCACCCGTCTAGAAGTTCTTCCAGGATGCGGGAACCCAAGGAAACAAAAAAAATGGTTACCTGGAGCAGAAGGATAAACTGGGGGAATCTCTGAATGGGTTTCACCATCAAGCCATAGAGGGTGACGCGGTCAAGGCTGGCCATCTGTTTCTTCTGCAAAAAGGAAGTTATAATTGCTTCTGTTTTTCGTGTCTCTGGATGGTCTCAGTCATCCAGGTGATGGTTGTCTCAAAAGGCACTTTTTCAGCACCTTTGTGGGCAACTGGACTTCCTTGTTTTTTCTTTGAAGACCTTTCCCTTCTCATCCAAGACGTTTCTTCATGGTAGTGAATGGAAGGATTTATACTCCTTGCAGACTGCTGGTCATTTGCATTCTTTCAGAGAGTCGTTGAGGCCACTTGGAGATTTATCTGTGTCCTGAGGGTCACCTGAGCGGTGCAAATGGGTGTGGAGTCTTCTTGGAACTGTTTCAAGGACTGTGTTGTAGACTGGAGGGATAGGACATCCTCTGTCTCCTGCCTACGACACAGTCCTTTCAGCAGTTCCAAGAAGGCTCCACACCCATTAGGTCTACTCAGGTGACCCCGAGGGCACAGGTAAATCTCCAAGTGGCCTCAAGGACTGTCTAAAAGAAGGCAAATGACCAGCTGTCTGCAAGGAGTATCAATCCTTCCATTCCCCACCATCCAGTCAGAGCTGAAGAAGCTTCTTCAAAATGTCTTCAAAGAAAAATAAGGAAGTCGAATTGTACTTTTGGGATACTTCTGTTCTTCCTTCTCCAATACAGTATGTTATGTGGAGCTTTCATTGGGGTTGTCACATCTCAACACAGAAAGCCTTGTCATGTTCAACATCAGCTCTGCTATAGGACCATCAACAATCCCATCTTGTCAACTGAACGTATTCAGTGTGGATTAGGGTAAACCATTATATACTCTACAACTCTACCCTGAAGTGGGCTTTGGATCCAGGAATTCTTCAACTGCATCCAACTTTCCATATCCCTCCGCTGTCTACCAAAATAAGGACCCCGGATTAACCGAGCAGCAGATTAGATCCAAATTATTCATTTTTATACTATTAAACTTGACGGCAAAAAAGGCGAACACAATTTTTCATTATCCCCATTAGATCCTCGCAGTGTGTTCGTATTCAAACGCAATTTAGCTGCAGAATGGATTAGTTAACGAAGCCAATTATCTTTCCCTCACAGCCGTCGAAACGCCGTCACGATCTCAATAGCTGAAACTTCAAGGACAGGAGAAGACTTCTTCATCCATCGAGCTCCAGAGACAACCGTCATGCATCTGGAGAAACCAGGATGATGGAGAGTGCCCTATGAGCACTAAGCTAAGAATAAGCCCTTGATGGGTCTGCAACATGGTCCAGGGCCCTTTGTGAGGTCCATCCTTCTTACCTTGAGGAACTCCAAGAAAGCCGGTTTGGTCAAGCAGGCCTTCTTGATTAAGGACATGGCACTGGTGAAGTTGTTGACGTATTCACTGTACACATCCAAGACCATGGACTTGGAGAACTTTGGAGAAGAAATGGAGGACAGTGTCAGGAGCTGCCTCAGATCCCAAGAGATCCCAAGATTCACTTCTAGAGTCACTAGAAGGCCTGGAGAAGTCACATCTTTTGAGGTGGGCAGCCATATCCACGTCTAATCATTGCTCACCGAGGCCACAAAGAGGTCACCGATCTTCTCCATGGAGTCCCACTCAACCACCCGTGAAGACAAGGCGATTTGGAACATGGAGTGGCACTGGAGGATCTCTTTGACCCGGAAGAAGACCACTTGGCATTTCCTGGCACTGAGGACTTTGGGCTCCATCTCCATCAAGGGGTTCCTGTAATCCTGTTTGGAAGAGGACAGGAGATGCCATTGATGACCCGGCCACCTTTTGGGTTATCATACTGATGTACAGGTACTCCTTGATTTACAAGAATTTGTTTAGTGAACGTTCAAAGTTACAACGGCATTGAACAAAGTGATTTACGATCATTTTTCACGCTTACAACCGTCGCAGCATCCCCATGGTCATATGATCAAAATCTGTATTTATTCTCGTTGTGTTCTTTTCAATAGTTCTGTTATTTTACTTCTGTGCTGTTCCCAGGCCTATCGTTTTGGTAAACATTAATTATTGTGAGCCACCTAGAGTAGCCTCATAGTGGGACAGGCGGTCAATACATTTAACAAATAAATAAATAAACATGAGAAAATGCCCAATTTAACTCATCCGTTTGTGGTTGAAAATGGAGAGACAGCTAAGCCATTTGTTTCAACCCTTTGTTGACGGACCGCTCAATTTACGACAGTGCTGAAAAATGTCATTTAAAACAGATTCCACACGTGGAATACTGCAGCCAATTTTGGTCACCACATCACAAAAAAGATGTTGAGAGTTTGGAAAAAGTGCAAAGAAGAGCAACTAAGATGATCCAAGGCATGGAGACCAAAACATACGAAGAACGGCTGCGGGACTTGGGTTTGGCTAGTCTAAAGACAAGAAGAAACAGGGGAAGACATGATAGCAGCGTTCCAGTATTTGAGGGGCTGCCACAAAGAAGAGGGGGTCAAACTATTCTCCAAAGCACCAAAAGGCAGGACGAGAAAAAATAATTAGAAACTGATCAAAGAAGCAAGCTGGAATTAAGGAGAAACTTCCTGACAGAGAGGACAATTAACCAGTGGAACAGCTTGCCACCAGAAATCATGGGCGCTCCATCACTGGAGGTTTTTAAGAAGAGACTAGACAGTCACTTGTCTGAGACGGTATAGGTCCTCCTGCTCGAACAGGGGGCTGGACTAGAAGACCTCTAAGGTTCCTTCCAGCTCTATTCTATTCTAAGATCCTCGCATTTACAACTGTGGCACCGACCTCATGGTCACGGCATCCCAGTTCAGGTGCTTGGCAACCGACTCGCATACACAACCGGTTGCAGTGTCGTCTGGTCATGTGACCATGAGTTGCGGCTTTTTTTTTCCAACCAAAAAAACCAGCTGTTTAGAAGGATGGGTTCATGCTTACGACCAGGGTGTTCACTTAACGACCGCAGATTCGCTGAATGATGCAGGGAGTCACTTAACAATCATCATAAAAATGGTTGAAAATGTGGGCAATTCGACTTAGGACAGAGATTCCGTTCCCCAATTGTGGTTCAAGAAATAACTGTATTGGTCTTTGCAGGATATACAACGCTGGGGGTCCAAAGGATGAAGGATTTTGGTCACGTGACCCATGGGGGTTGCTGTGACGGTTGTTAAGTGAGAAAAACGGTCGTAGGTCACTTTTTTCAGTGCCGTTCTTAACTTCAAGCAGTCACTAAATGAACTATTAAGTTGAGGACCGCCTGTATTCCCCCAGGGTTGTGTTCACGTTGTGCACCTAAGGATCTGACTCTACTCTGTAAATCTAAACCGCAAGGACGGGTAGTCCTCGACTTATAACAGTTCATTTAGTGACTGTCCAAAGTTACGATGGCATTGAAAAAAAGATGACTTATGACCGTCTTTTCACACTTACGTCCACTGCAGCGTCCCCAGGGTCACGTGGTCAAAATGCTGACACTCAGCGACTGACTCCTATTTATGACGGTCACAGTGTCCCCCCTGGGGTCCCGTGATCCCCTTTTGCGACAAGCCAAGACAATGGGGGAAGTCGGGTTCACTTAACAACCGTGTGACTAACTTCACAGCTGCAGTGATTCACTTAACAACCGTGACAACAAAGGTCGTAAAATGGAACAAAACCGACTTAACTGTCTCACTTAACAACAGAAATGTTGGGCTCCATTGTGGACGTAAGTCAAGGACTGCATTAGACAGCCAGAATCCCTCTGTCATCTCGACAAAATGGTATAGGGTTTCCTGCCTGAGCAGGGGGTTGGACTAGATGACCTCCAAGGTCCCTTCCAACTTTATTATTATTACTATTATCATCATCATCATTATTATTACTATTACTATTAGTATTATTATTATACAATGTGAGATTTGGCTTCCCAAAGGGGCATCCAGAGAGCATCTCTTCTCCAAAAGCCCAAAAAATAAAAATAAAAAGACGAAATACCTGTAAAATGCGCCTCAGCGAGTCCACGTAGCTTCTCTCGCTCTGGACAATGGAGCCCAGGATGTGACGACGTATGACCTGGGAGAAAGCAGAGAAAATAGAATGAAGACCGCGGGGAAGCTTGCGGAACTCCTTGTCACAAGGGAGTTCCACACACTCAGGAGCGCTTGGCCTTAAAACCTCAAAACTTCACCTCGAGGATTGGATTGCAACCAGACAGAGTCCTTTGCAAAAAAAAAAAAGAGGTCCCCAAATCCCAAATAAATAAGCCAGTTCAACAAAATGTAGGTTTCACCCTAAAACAAACCTGTTGAGGGTTTAACCCTTCGGGCATCGGCCCCAACTCTGGCAGCTGTTTGGCATCTGAAACGGGGACCTCCAAGAAACCCAGGTCTTCTTCTTCCGAGTCCCCTGAGGACCAGAAACAGGCAAAATAAAAATAAAGTGACTCCTTCCTTTAGTGCGTTTGGTGAACGTGGTTAATATTCCCCGAAGCAAAACGAAGCAACGTGGATTAAACTTAAATGGATCTCTAGCAGGGATCCCTCTCCGCACACGTCAGCACCCCACATCTTCCTTCGCTGACAATCCTCCCGGTTTAAAACATGCTTCTAGTCCTCAACGGTAGACAGCCAAAGGGTTTGTGAAAAAACAACAACGGAAAAATCAGAAAGACATTCAGGCCAACGGCATACCAACTTATTATTCTTATTAGTCTGGCAATTTCAACATTGCTTGAGGGGGTATTAATTGGTGCCCTGACAAGTCCCAGGCTGGGGGGGGGGGGGCCCAAAAAAAAGCAAGCTTCTAATTTTTGCAAAATGAGCCTTCTCTAGCACAGACGAAATCGATGGCACAAAGTGACTCAGCAAAAGTCCACCCCTTTGGCATAGTTGGCACTGCCAGTGGAACCCAAGAAGACTCCTGGATGGGCAGCGTCCTCCAAAACAGAATTCAACAAAGGAAATGAACAACAACAAAAAAAACGGCACACGGTCACGTTTTCGGAAGGGATGCGAATAAAATACAGAGCGGTAACGTCTAACTTTGGCAGCCCAATCGTGGGCTCCCTTAGGGAGACAAAGCAGGAGCAGGCGACTCCAGCAAGTAAGCCAAGCTGCATGCTTAAGCCTCGGAGGGTGCTGGATGGGAAGTGGGGAGATTTAATTTTGGTTCTCGCTCCATCTGTCTCCTGGGCCAGCCCGTCCCACCCCGCCAGTTCTAAAGAGACTTTGTTGCTCAGGAGAAAAAGCAAGTTATAAATAAAATAAAGAACAGATGGCCAATGAATTCATTTCCCCAACTGCAAGTAAAATCCTCGCCAAGGAGAGAAAAGCACCCACCAGACACGCGGGACGCGGTGCCACCAAGCTGGCTGAATCTTGGCAGAGCTGACGGGAGCCCAAAACGGAAACCCACCGCTCAGCACAGGACTCTAGAGACCTACAAGGGGAGGGGGGAAGATGGGCCAGCTACCTGGCCTTACCTGAGACAGAGGAAGAGGAGGAGGAGGAGGAGAAGTGAACGATCACGTAATCCTTGGCGCTCGCCCGATGCCGTTTCCTCCACATCTTATCCGTGGGAGCAGTTCTTCCCCTCCTATCACTCAACCAGCCCCACGCTTCCTCTTTCTCAACACTCTGACTGAAAATCAGTTCCCATTGAGTGGGGGGCTCTCCATCCTTGTAGAAGAGGGTCAGGATACCGGCCAGACCCCAGGGAGATCCAAGCCGGCAGCAGAGGGGGTAAAAATGGGAGCGCGCGTGAGCCGCTCGGGGCGGGGTGACGACGAGAATAGCCCAGTGATGGCAAGGCTGACCTTTCCTTCCCTAATTTTGGGAACAGCTGCCTGCCGCGCTTGGGAGAGCTGCCATCCGGGGAGGCGGCTGAGAACGGAAGCAGCTCGAAAGCAGAGGGGAGGGGAAGGGTCTCCAAAAACATCCTGTTGGGGAAGACCATCTCAGAAACCTCTGGACTGACCAATCTCGCAGAAACACACACACACACACCCCGTCCAGACGAAAACACTGCCCAAAATTGATTCCCACTTTCCAGACCTTGGCCAATTTTGTTCAAACAGGGCCCGGGGATTGAGGTGCAAAAGCAATAAAAAACACACCACGGGGCGTAAATAGAAATGAGAAGATTTTTTTTTCCCCCTAGAAGGAACAAACGAACACTGGGGGCATCCTGCTGTTTGCTCTGGAGATTATCTGGGAGAGAATTAAGTCAGGGTAATGGAAACGCTAAAGCGAGAAGAGGAGAAAAAATTTGGTTAACAAAGACCTGCACATCTGCAAAGGTGAGAAGCTCCGCAGAGTTCCATCTCTGGATAAATGCACAGAGGCTGCTTCAGATCTTCATCCTTAGTTAACTCACTAATGAGCAATCCTGGCTTAGCAGAAAAGAGTCGCAAGCCGGACCCAGCGGCCAGTAAGAATAACAGACTTAGGATAGACCGCGGGAATCCAAGTCAACTTTGCTTGGTTTGGCTCTGGCTCTCCAAAGGACGGGCGGGCCTCAGTCTTTCTGTGCTCCCCCACATTCCCTTCTCAAATCCCCCTTTTTTCCTAACCTAGATTATTTTGCCTAGCCGTGAGCCACGTCCCTTGCCAAATCTGTGTCCACACAACTGCACAAAATAAGACACAAAGTGGCTCCCCCCCCCCCGGTCTGCTTCCCACAAAGGGCAATTTTTCAGGGATGCCAACCTCCCCATCAGCCGCTAAGAAGCAATCACAATGCCACACTGCACACCAAGCCGTGCTTTGCTTCCCGGAGGGATCCCAGCTGGATCCGTACCTCTCTCTGCGGAGAAGCTACGGGCCACCACGGCAATCTCCCCGGTCCAGGAGAGAGACCGCTTTCTTCCCGGTCCAGAGACCCCACTGCTTGGCTCTCCGTCCGCAGCTACGGTGAAGGAAGGACCACCGTCAGCCGCGCTTAATTCTTTCGCTCATGAATTCACACTTGTTCTCTTGAGAAAAGCAACTTGGCAGGATCCTGGCACGGTTCCCCTGCTTTGCTTCAAACCCTGAAAAGCTGAGTTTGGGGGTCCTTTTTTTGTCTAGCTCAGTAACAGCCTTGTGGGCCCCCCCCCCATAAGCCTTGCATTTATGTAATTATACAGACAGATAAAAGAAACTTCAAGCGAATGTTAAGTTGAGCTGGTTCCTAGTATGTTTTTTTTCCCCCTGTGTAAGCAGTTTTTGTAGTTATTCTAGCAACCGTTTTGCAACGGTGCCGCACAAAACAAGGAAGTGGGTAAGAAAATTGTGCTGGGATTGAACTTTGAGAGCTGACTGGAGGAGAATCACCCGCTCCATCTGTGTTTGTGTTTGTCTTTGTGTGTGTAAGAGAGAGAAAAGACTCGGGCTGAGTTCTGCAGCTCACATCTCATTATTTATAACGTTCTTGGTTTCCAGAAGCAAACTTAGTTTTGCAGCAAATGTTCAAAGAGGGACAACACATTTAAAAAAACAACATTTTTTTTTCAAGTTCAAACACCATCAGGGTTTAATTTACCCAGAGAAAGAAGAAAGGAAGGAAGGAAGGAAGGAAGGAAGGAAGGAAGGAAGGAAGGCAGGCAGGCAGGCAGGCAGGCAGGCAGGCAGGCAGGCAGGCAGGCAGGCAGGAAGGAAGGAAGGAAGGAAGGAAGGAAGGAAATGGAGAAGGGGAGGAAAGGAAAAGAAAAAGAAAAGAGAAAAAGTTAGATAGATAGATAGATAGATAGATAGATAGATAGATAGATAGATAGATGATAGATAGATAGATAGATGAAAGAAAGAAAGAAAGAAAGAAAGAAAGAAAGAAAGAAAGAAAGAAAGAAAGAAAGAGTCTTGTCTCATCTCTGTTTCTATGAGAATTAGAAACACTATTAACAAAAAAAACTTCTTGGAATTAAAGAGATACCCAGAAATGGCATAAATTAGAGAGATAATTTACTAAACCCACAATAATATACTGGTTTCACTTGCAGTAGACTCCCCACTGTCTCTGCAAACCAGGTTAAATCTAGAGGGGGATTTTTTTGTGTTTCTTTACTCAAGCCAGGATCACTAATTGGCCATGCTCTATTCATCACACCCAACTATTCACTTTTGACTTTGCAAAGGTGAGATTCGGGGGCTCAAATTTCCAGACAATAAAGAAAACCATCACCCACTGTCTATCTTTGCCTCTGGCTGACTGAAGGCCCACAACCCTCAATTCTACAAAATTTTGCAAAGAAATTCAGAAAACTAGTACGGTATAGACCAGGGGTAGGCAACCTTGGCTCTTTTATGACTCGTGGACTTCAACTCCCAGAATTCCTGAGCCAGCCATGCTGAGGGGAAAGGGAGAGGTTTCCAAGCTGAGCCATGCTGGCTGAGAAATTCTGGGAGTTGAAGTCCACGAGTCATAAAAGAGCAAAGGTTGACTACCCCTGGTACATATCCTCAAGTCACTTTCCCATCGATTCTCTCTATCTTTTAAGGCAAGGGTCTCCAACCGTGGCAACTTTTAAGACTTATGGACTTCAACTCCCAGAATTCCCCAGCCACTCAGGGGGATTCTGGGAGTTGAAGTCCACAAATCTTAAAGTTGCCAAGGTTGGAGATCCCTGCATCTACCCCAGAATATATATATATATATTTTTAAGGCAGCATCAAAAGTCTCCATTAGCAACCCAACCGCACGTCCAGAGAAAATCAAAACATTTTTGGTTTCAGGATTTCTCTCCTCTTTTTCCCATCAATCACAGGAGTTTCACTAATGCTGCAATAAGGGAAGTGATGAAGGAAACAGAAAGTATGTTTTGTCTAATGACGAAGCGGGAGGACTTTCTGAAACAACCCGAAACTGAAAAAGCCCAGCGTTATTTCGTCCAAATCCTAACTTTTAGAGAACAGATCAAAAGCCATCAATGCAATTGGGCCACTGAATTCACTTTTTACTCTTCATACTCTTCATAATCTGGATTTTACATTTTCTACAGCTTTGCTGCTTATCTTTTAAAGGTGCTGTTAAATGATACCCCCCCAAAAAAGTGGTAAAATAATTGTCTCCAGTACAGGCAGTCCTCGACTTACGACCACAACGGAGCCCAAAATTTCTGTTGCTAAGCGAGGCATTTGTTCAGTGAATTTTGCCCCATTTTACGACCTTTCCTGCCACAGTTGAAAAACTTCCTGACAGGGAGAACAATTAACCAGTGGAACAACCTGCCTCCAGAAGCGGTGAATGCTCCAACACTGGAAGTTTTTAAGAAGAGACTGGACAGCTCTTTGTCCGAAATGGTATAGGGTTTCCTACCTGAGCAGGGAGTTGGACTAGATGACCTCCAAGGTCCCTTCCAACTTTATTATTATTATTATTGTTGTTGTTAAGTGAATCACTACAATTGTTAAGTGGGTCACCCGGTTGTTAAATGAATCTGGCTTCCCCATGGCTTGTCAGAAGCTCCCAAAAGGGGATGAGGGGTACTGCAACCGTCATAAATACGAGTCGGTTGCCAAGCGTCTGAATTTTGATCACGTGACCCTGGGGAAGCTGCGACGGTCGTGTGAAAAACGATGATAAGTCGCTTTTTTCCCTGCTGTTGTAACTTTGAATGATCACTAAAGAAACCATTGTTAAATCAAGGTTTACCTGTACTTTTTTTTCCCCCTTAGGTGACCCCAAAAGTCACCTTGGTGAAGAATGCCAAATAAACCCAGTTACCTGGAATATCTTTCTTATGCAGGAAAGTTCGCATCACCGCAATTTTGGTCTTTTCCAAACCATCCTTGGTGCCGCTTTTTGCTGCTTTCATGAGCTGGGTCATCTGTGGAAAATGAATTTTTAAAAACAAATATAGAAGGCAAACTAGGGCTGTTGGACATCCTGGCAAAGAAAACCCTTTTCACTGTTGTTCCCGTTCGGAAAAATAAAACTAATCCTGGCTTAATGATTGCCGTGGAGTCCAGCAACTCTGCCACTCAGCCAGATGTCCTGTGACTGCCGCAGACTTACGACCTCACAAGGGGTTGTTAAGTGAGACATCAAGAGACTGTGAGATACTGTGATGGTCATCAACAAACTTCTGATGCTGAGATTAAAGAAGACTTATAGTTCTTAACTATAAACAGGATACAGCTAGTCCTCCCTTAATAACTGTCCTGTTTAACAACGGTACAAAGTTGCAGTGGTGCTTGGAAAGTAATTTTCTAACTGGTCCTCGCAGGTATGACCGTCACAGCTTCCCTGAGGTCACTTGACTGACATTCAAGCGCTAATTCAGCCCGCTTATCTATTTTAGGAGTCTTCAAACTTGGCCCTTTGATGACTTGTGGACTTCAATACCCAGAATCCCTCAGCCAGTGTGCACGCTGGCTGAGGAATTCTGGGAGTTGAAGTCTGCAAGTCACGAAGGGGCCATAATTCCCCCATGCTGGCTGAGGAATTCTGGGAGTTGAAGTCCACAAATCATAAAAGAATGAATTTGAAGACCCCTATTCTATTTATTAACCTCTTTTTTTCTTTTTTTTTTAAACAAATTTTATTGGTTTTCCAGTTTTACATTTGAGTGCTAGGAAAGCAGCGTGGTGACTGGGCAGTCAATAGTTCCATAACAAAGTCTCTAGTACATATCTCAGGTTGAATTATCAAAAATTCTTTCTCTATTTCCCTTAACATTCAATGTATCATACTTAAATTAATAAATTTCTAACCATGGCAAACTCAATTTAACACATTTATCAATATATTTTTTGCTTATACATATCCGTATCCTGTTTTACGTTTTAGCTATTTTTTTTATTTTTAATTACAGTATTCCAATCTACCTTTAACAACCATTGTATGTAAAGTCCTGGTAACCCAAATTTCCTTTGTTTCACCACGCAAAAGTTATAATATCTAAAATACACATATTACTTACTTAAATACATTCACATTCTATTTAATATAGATTTTCTATTTCTTGTCCTAGGACATCACTACTTACAAATAGAGTAACCTTTATTGTCTCAAATCCATCATCTATATTTTCTGGGCTAAAGAATAGTTCAAGGCTGATTCCTAATAGTTGTTTTCAACTTCCCTTATAAATCTAAGTCCTGACTATTAAGACAGTTAGTCCCTTATCTATCTATCTATCTATCTATCTATCTATCTATCTATCTATCTATCTATCTAT